CTCTCTCTTTACAGGGGACAAGAAAACTCTGATTAAAACTCTTGCCAGTCATCTTATCTGTACAGGTTGGAAAGCAGTGCTTAACAGTAGAAGCATAACGAAGATGCCCATGATACATAGAATTACTCATTTGGTTAAAAATTAACTGATAAAATACTGACTATAAAATGCTGGTTTTGATTTATTTTTTGCAGTACATTGATAGCAAATTGGTTAAAGTAGTAAATTAGAAGCTTTAAAACTCTTATAGAGAGATTCAAATTAAACTCCAAACATCCAGAATTTTTTCTGCTTAATCATCTTGTTACTACAATCAGCCCAAGACAAAAAACATGCTCTCTTCACTATTTTGAATATTTTTTGAAGGGCCATTCTTCTATGACAGTAAAAGATAGCAGTGTGCATGATTATATTTAAGTCTCAAGTAAAGCCTAGTCTGTGACAAGTTAGGAGAAGGTGACTGTAATTCCAGACCCCAATAATGTTCTTGCTTTCCTTTGCTGAAGATATCATACCTTCAGCTGTGCCACTGTCTCTGTGAAGCCTTCTAGAGACCTAACATTAGAGAAAATGAGTTATGTGGCTGGAGACAATTTTGGTCACAGAGGTGTTTGAGGCACTGAGTCAGGACAAAGTAAACATAAAACCAGTGTAAACACTCCAGAATTGGGCTCTGTATCTGAAGAAGTTTCATGTACATTTTAAACACCTCTCCAAAATACAATTTGATTTACAAAAAGCGTTTGGGAGGTAATCAGTAAGCAGAAATATCTTAGCTAAAAATACATACTGTTGTAGGATAAAAGATATACGGAATTCTCTAAAGCAGTCTGTATAGTCACAGCACCAGAACAATTCGAAATTATACAGTGAATTATATAGGGCTATGAATCTTGAAACTACAAGAGAATGAAGTTTTGGAAATGGTTACATAGATTCAGAGTTCAGATGTCAAAGTTTAGAGACAAAAATATTTTAGACCAAGTGTTTATAATTTGAATATTTTAATTTTGATAGTTTGAATTTCATCACTTTGACATTACCCTATACCTGTTTCTCTGACAGGCACAGATCCACAATTACAGGCATCATCACCCTCTGCTTCATGCTACAGTTACCAAATAATGATCTTAAAATAGACCCTGAAAAATACTCATTAAATAACTGACAGTGACAGAATCCTGGCGTAAGTAAATCAATTATATAACTAGAACATGACAAGAAGAGACAGCAAAATAGAATACCTTTACCAGAAATGATAGCCAGTCGTTTCCCACTATGGAAATGCAGGCAAATATCACAGTTTGAATCAATATCAGAAATAGATGTAATGACTGCCAGAAGTTCACCAGATTTTGTCACAGTAGTGGTTATTTCTTCTCATATCATTAATGTTAACTAATAACTTTGTCTTTATGGGATAGGCTTTGGGATCAGGAAGAACATTCCAGAGTGGGAATTGGAGAGTATACTAAAGTAGGATCAATATTAGAAGCTGGCATGATGCTTCAGAAATTGAAATTGGTGGTGTTGGGCACTTAACACTGAGAATTATACTGAGAGTGAGTTCCATAAAAGCTTGAAAGTTGATTTGATTCATAGCATATTTCTGGGTCTTATATGTTTTACGAACATTATAAGCTGTTGTTTCCTTGGATCTGTCTGGTTTCTGAAATGGACTGAACACCAGTTGGAGGTTGATGGGAAGGGGTTGAACATGATACTGGGATTTTGTTTTTCAAAAACTGTAATTTAAGAAATAAGCAGGATTGCTAGGCATAGTGGCATCATACACCTTTAATGCAGGAGTATAGGTAGACCCTGTCTCAAAAAAAAAAACATTAGCAAGATATGCAGAAATTAGATTTGCTTGGCAGTTTTTCTGTAGGAAGAAGAACTAATCTGTTAAAAATTATACATTCACTATAAAAGCAGAAAATGCTATAGTCTTTGTTATTGATAATATTGATTAACAAGTTTAAATGCTACTTTTGATAAGATTGGATTATACATATCCAAAACTAATACAATATTAGTTCTCAACATAAGAATAAGTCAATGAAAAATAATTTTGTGTTTAATTTTAGAAAGGTAACTATGAGAAAACGACTACATTTTTTTTTGTGAGATGAAATACAATTCCATCCTGTTCTAGTCTCTAAAACATTTCAACTATAGGTATTTTCCCTTTGTCAAATAAAAACACTGTAATAAAGATGAAGCATGATTGACAGCATGAAGTTTCAGAGTGACCACACATACTGGTCCATCATGATTCTAAAGCTGACGGTCTACAAAGCAACACACCTGCATTTCTGTAATTGCTTCAAATCAAGGGTTAATGTGGTTTGGATGGAAAAATATGATTTATAATTTCTAGCACTTTTGTAAAAATCAAAGGAGACCTTTAATTAATAGTCAATCTTTGCTTTGTATCACCAACAAATTTTATCTTTAGAAATCTTAAGACTAAATCTTAGATTTTCCTCACTATATTGTAAGAGATATTTAATAAACAGAGTTCCTTATTTTTTCCTGTGACACTTGATAAGAATTTGCAAAGAGTGAGATGTGACCTTGGGTACTGCCAGAACAAATGTCTAAGAGTTTGCCTCAGTCAGACCCTCTGGCAGCTCTCAGTCCCAACCCATAATGCTAGCTTCCCACTGGCAAAGTGACTGTCCCAGACATCTCTAACAGACACATCAATTTTAGCTATCCAAATGTCATTTTCCATTCTTCCTCCAGGGTATTTCCATTATGTTCTCTCCATCACAGTCCTCTGCTTGTCTTTCTTCTATTTATTAGTAATATAAAAATGGCATTATTACACAATATCCTACACTGTAGCAGAAGCTTCACCTACTCATGACCTTATCAGCAACTTAGTGCAGCTTATGGGGAGACAGTAATGTCATTCCTAATAAACCTCTTAGAATTCTTTGTTATATATCCGTTTTTAGGAACATGTCTTCCCAAATGCACATGTAGAAGTCTGAATCTATTTCATATAAGTCAATTTAAACAAAATCATCTCCCTGTGTTCTGTTGATAGCCTGTTCCTTTCTCCAATGTGATAAATACTTGCTTTCATTTAAGACTCACTGATATTTCTTCTTATGCACTCAACTTTTTAATATAACTGAGCATCCATAAAAGTGAGATCATCTTAGGACATCTTTGATTTTGCTTGAAAGGGACTCGTGGTGACAGGTCAATGCTTTTGAATACCACTGACTACTCTGATTTCTTAAAATAGATTTTTTGAGGCAGAAAAAAGAAAGACATGCCATTGTGCATGACCTACTCAACAACAACTTTTTGGTTTGTCATTGTTTGGGGACACTCAACTTTGTCACTGTTTGGGCGGGTTATTGATCACTAGTCCTACAGAGTATCTAGCAGCCACACTTCTTTTCTGCTGGCTTTTCCCCATCTAGCTTTCCAGAATTTCCACCATTGACAGCGTCCGGAACTTGTGTCTTCTCTACACATTGTTCCATTCTCTTCATTATTAAGTCCAGAAGGGTTTCCACAGATTTCTCTACATTCTGTCCAGTCGCTGCACTTGTTTCAAAGTATGGTATGCTAGCATAGAAAAAGTGACAAAAATTCAATAAAAATATAATTAAAGAAAAAGTGGCAAACATAGTTTTTAAACTGACAGATAAAATTGTATGTATGCATCATATGTAATGTGATGTTTTGAAGAATATGCACAATGTGGAAAGGTAAAGCCTAGCTAATTAACAAATGCATTACTTCACAAGGTTATCATGCTTTGTTAACACTTATAGTCCTCCCATCTTCAAAAATACAATGCTATCATTAATAAACATAGTCACCATCTTGTAATGCTTTCAACTTACTGTATTCTTGAATAACACCAAGAGCAGACAGTAGGTATTCTCATATAAAATCTTTTTTTAATGAAGCAGAATTAGGGTTTATTTATTTTAAAAATTATTTCATTTCTCCTCTTCTTCTCTCTCCCCCTCTCCCTCTCCCTCTCCCCCTCCCTCCCTCCCTTCCTTCCTTCCGCCCTACAGATCAGAAGAGGTATCAGATTCCCTGTAACTGGAGTTATGGGTACTTGGAACTAAACTCTGGTCCTCTGGAAGATCAGCAGGAACACTTAACCACTGAGCCATCTCTAGCCCAAGAGTTGAAGTTTATTAAGAAGAGATTTTTAAAAATGTTTTATTTATTCTTATTTTATGTGCATGTGTGTTCTGCCTTATTGCATGTAAGTATACTATATGGGTGCCTGGTGCCTGCAGAGGCCAGAAGAGAGCACTGGGTTCCCTAGAACTGGAGTTAAGGAGTTAAGGGTATTGGCCATCATGTGGGTACTGGGCACCAAATCCAGATCCTATGAAAGAACAGTGAGTGTTCTTAATTGCTGAGCCATCTCTCCAGCCTCTTAAAAAGAGATGTTAACACACATTTAAGCATGGGGGTTCACAAAAAGAGAGACACCTAGGGAAAGGAAAATGCACCTAAGTAAGGGCCTGGTTTTCTCAAAGTATTCTCACATAAAATCTCAATGGGAAATATATTTAAGAGGAAGAGATCAAAAAAGATGCAAGATTCACAAATGAATGACGTAGAATACATGGCTGGTGGCAAGGTCCTGAAATCATGTTTTTGCTGCTAAGTTGGAAATGTTCTTGTTTTTTCTTAGTGAATAAAAATTGGTAGGCTGATCTTTTGTATGGTCATAACCACGTTGTATGGGAAAGCACTACAGAAATCACAAAGTTGAAGTCAGGGAATGATCACTGTTTTGGCAAAACTATACAAAAATGAGCAGGAAAAAATACCTAAAGCAGTTGTTATAGTATCACTAACACTTTATTTCAAGCCAGTCATCTAGAAATTTGATTTAGAAATCTAGTGTACATTGAATATGATATTCATGTAAATGTAAATGAATATTAATTTACAAGTACATGAGCTGTTTCTGTTTGATTTTATTTCCAGCTGTAAGTCAAGTCCACCTAGGAAGAGGACTTACATTATCCAGGCCATATCAGATACTGTTTTTTGAGTACTTGTAGCTATTAATTGGGAGATAGAAAAGCATAGAGGTTAAGAATACAAGCCTTGATCTTAGACTTTCTGGACTGAATTTAAGCTCTGCTCCTTACTACCTATGTAGCCTTCCATAAAGCACTTGATCTTTCTGTGAATCAACCCTTCTTTTCTGCATTTTTCTAGAAAATATTTTATTTATTATTCTTATTTTACATGTATGAGTGTCATGCCTGTATGTATATAAGTGTACCCATGTCATGCAAAGCCCATGGAGGTCAGAAGTGGGCATCAAATCTCCTGGAGCTAGAGTTATGGATGGTTATTAGCTGCCATGTGGGACTCAAACCCGGGTCCTTTGCAAGAGTAGTCAATGTTCTTAACTGCTGAGGTATCCCTCCATCCTAAATCAAGCCTTCTTATATGAAAGTGGTCATGAAGAGTTTAATGAGCTGAAATCAAATAACAGTTGCCAATTCATAACAAGGACTCAATAAATATTAGTCACTATCAATAAGACCTGTGGAAGATGTGGGGGGGGGCACATGTGTATGTGTGAGTGTACTTACACATGTGTGTGTCAGGCTCTCTCACTGAACCTAGAATGCATTGATTCAACTAGTCTGGCTGGACAGGGATCCCCATCTCTGCACACAACACTGGGGTTATAGATGTGCTCTGCCATGCCTGGCTTCTATATGAGCACTAGAGATCCAAACTCAGGTCCTCACGCTGCAGTAGCAACTACTTTACCCAGTGGGCCCTCTTCCTGCCCCTGGAAGGTTGTTTTAATTTACCTCTGGTTCCTAATTCAAGGAGATTCTTTCGATTATCAATCTCACACTTCTGCTTTATCTGTGCACAAAGAGAGACGGTCCTCAGTGAAAATGACTTACCCATATTTTTCAGCCAGCTCCCGGGCTTGCCGTTCATTGACTTCCCTTTGGTCTGACAGGTCTGCCTTGTTGCCAATTAATACTATATCTGGATTTTCACAGTAAGCATTTGCTTGTAGCTGGCCTTGGAAAGAAAACAGATGGAAACAGTGAGTTAGTCACAAACAAGTGATGTCACAGGACTGCTCATACTCCAGATTCCTAATGTGCAGTTCATGTGCAGTTTGGTTGCCTACTAGTAGTATCAGCCAGGCTGTTTATTCTCTCCGGTCATAGTTTCTTTATGTATAAAATGTAGACAATGGCTCACAAATTACAGACTATAAAGCTGACAAATAGACACGCATGAACTAATACCTATACATGCTCACCTGTACCCAGGAAATGCCCTCTGCCCTTTACATATGGCTTCCCACCATTAATCCCATTTGATTCTCAGACATAAGGAGAGTTGATAGAACATGATTGTCAAGTATGTGAATTTGCTTGCTCCATTAAATAGCTCTATATTTCTCTCTCCTGATATCTAAAGTGATGATCTAAGAAGCAGAATAACCAGAAATTCATGCAGAAACAATTTTATAAGTATCTTGCCTTTCTCTTTTCTTTAGGCAAACACCTATGCTCCTCTGTGTGTGTGTGTGTGTGTGTGTGTGTGTGTGTGTGTGCATGTGTGTGTAGGGGGAGAGGTAACAAAGTAAAGAAAAAAGGAAGAAATGAAAGGAGGAGGAAGGGAGGAGGAAAGGCGAGAGGGAAGGAAAGATAACTTGCCAACATGCATTTTCTACCTTACTAAGCTCTGTTGTACTGTGTGCCATGTTGCCAAGACTAAAGGATGAATACAAAGATTTGCTCTATAACACCAATGAGCTGAGTGTCAGAAACCCAGGGGTTATTAGTCATAGCAATTAATTATCTTTAATCCCAATAATATCTTCATGGAGACTTGAGGGAGAGGCCCATCTGCCTTGAAAAAGGACAAACAATTCTCTGAAAGAATCTAATAATCTTGTATTTCCTTATATCCTTAGGGTCTAATAATGCTGCCAAGATTTAGATAAGGACATACAACATTCAAAGGAAATAAAGACAGTTCCTAGAGTAAACATTAATTTGGAGAAAGCAATTAAAAATTTTGTTGATATTTTTCCTATTGGTTGCAACGGTGTTATTGAATTCATATTTCAAACACATACAAGTTTTAGTTACATCTATACATAATGCACTATTAATTTTATATGATATGCAGTAATAAGAAATAGAGATATAGAAATGTAGACATAGGTAGATAGAGTCTAAGTGCCAGGCAATGTGCAGCCTAGAACAATGGAATGGGAATGCCTGGACTTTCATAAAGTGTGTATTCTAGTGTTGGGAATAGTAAAAGACATGAGCAAATGTAAAAATGCATAATGTATGTCAGGTGATGGCAGTGGCCAAATGAACTGTGTCATGTGCTGAGTGATGACAGATACTCTTTCAGAGCAGTGAGTCAGGAAATGCCTCTCTAAGGACAGTAGCAAGTTTTAGACAAAATCTTGGAAGGAAGGAGCCAGCACAGGGCTGTAAATTGCAGAAGAGAAATGAAGACAGAGGGAATGGAAAAGGTAAAGCCCTAAGGGAGGAACGGACTTTCTGATCTGGGAGTGGGGGCTGGGGGTCAGTGATCACGCCCCAGGGAGACGGATCAGAAATGCAGCCAGGCCTCATAGTGGTCATAGAAGTAGCTGAAGGTCTTTGGATTTTATTCCAAGAGAAATAAGAAGTCATAGAACTCTGAGCAGGGGGACTGAAGGGATGGCTCAGCAGTTAGGAGCAGGTGCTGCTCTTTCAAAGGACCCAGTTCAAACCCCAAACCCATATCGGGCAGCTCTCAACAGCTGGTAACTCTAGCTCCAGGGTTACCCAATACCTCTGGCCTTGCAAGCGCCTGTGCTTATGGGCACATACCCCCACAAAGACACACATACATAACATCCGTACACATAATCAAAAATAAACTAAATCTTTACAAAATGAACTTTGATCAAGGGAATAAAAGGCTCCCGTGAATATATAAATATTAAATAAATCACCCACTCTGACCACAAACCTCAGAATGTCTCAAGAGTTATCTGTGGTCCAATGAAACAACTGCTGTGTCCTCACACTACAGAACTCATTAAGATCAAATTTATTTGTTATAAGAAATATAAATGAAATATTCTTAGTGCTGCATAAATTCAAAATATAAAAGACAATCTAACACTTCTCTCCTGTGCTGATAGGCATCACTTTGACTCAAACCATTGATTAGGTGGCATTTAAATCCTGTATTACATTTTTAAGGTGCCAGGGAGACTGGAGAGTTATCTGTTTAAGATGTCTTCACATGTGAACAACTGATTGACTGACTGAGTTCCTTTGCATATAGGTGCACATGTGTGTGCAAGTGTGCATGTATGTTTGTGTGCTTGTGAAGGCTAAAATTCAATCTCAGCTGTCATGCATCAAGTCCACCTTGTACTTTGAGATAGGGCATCTCACTGACCTGTATCTTGCTGTTTAGCTACAGTGGCTGGCCAGGAAATCCTGGAGACCCTGCTGTCTCCCTCCCCAGTGTTCACCTGGAAAGAGCACTTTGCCACTCCTGGCTTTCCACATGGGTTCTCAGGATTAACTCAGGTCCCCATGTTTGCACAGCATCTTACTGACAGAGCTCTCTACCCAGTCCCCTTTAATAACATTTTATTAAAGTAAACTCCAGTGTGAGCTGAGGGACTCCCACAGCTAGTCTTATCTTGTGGTTAGTCTGTTTTGGAGTAGTTCTTCCTCTAGTTAACCTATTCATCCTTGAACACATCTAGCTTCAGCGTCCTCTCCAAAGAAATGGTACTGAGTTTCTACATTTCCTGTTTAACTTTGATGCCATAGATACCATCTTTTACTTAGTGAGCAGTCCTTTAAGACCTACTATGCAAATGAAATCAGCTGCCTTTTAACTAGAATTTTGATGACCTTAATTGACGAGACAGGCACACAGGCTTCCTCTAAGAAGAATGCTAAAGGGTTACAGACTTCCAAGTCATGTTGGTTATTCACACAAAAGTCACTCCTCTGAAGGTGACACAGGAAGTACTATACTCATATCTTTCAGAGTTACTCTGTTGCTGTGCCTCACAAGGCAAACAAGCAAGTAGAGCTGTTGAGTCCTGAAGAAGCAGCCAGTACGCATTACTCAGCCCACTTACTCATCCAGTTTCTGACATTCAAGAAGCTCTGTTGACTGGTGAGGTCAAACGTTAATAAGAAGCCCATGGCGTCTCTGAAAAATGCTGTAGTGAGGCTCCGGAACCTGCCAAGGAAGCACAGTGGGTGTTTCTCAGAGTTAATTCACAAACTTGCAATCACAGGACAAACAACACTGTTTCCCTTGTATATATATGGTCTCCTTAGCTGGCCCTTATCATCGCTAGTCTACAGAAAAAGGAGACTGGGCTGGGAGGGGAGATTCACTTGAAGATGTTTTTTTAAGGACCACTTTCAGGTTTTTTGGTCCTGCAACACCAACACAGATCTACATTCAACCACACTCTTGCCTACACAGCCTCTTGGAATCTTTTTCTTGTTCAAGACACATGGGCATCTTCTTGTCCACAATTAAAATGTTAGCATCACTAGAATGAGGACTTCAACTTCTACTTTTCAATCTTTCTTGTCTGTTGCCAGAAGAAACCTTGGCACATGATTAGGCTGAAAATGAGTTCCTGCAGCAGCTAGAGAGCAAATTCTTTTGCAGGGAAAGAGGTTAGTGATCTCTTTCTAAAACATCCTTTGGGGTAAAACACTGCTCAAGCTGAGGTAACTTGTGAAGAAGAGGAAGATGATTGGGAGGACTGAAGGAAAGACAAAGGAGTAACTTAGGAGCTGGGGAAAGAAAGCGAGAATATGCTTTCGTAGCTGAGGATGTTGAAAAGTATTCTCCGCTGTATGTATGTGAAAACTTGCTCTCAGGGACTCCGCCCACCACACACTTCTTTAGTGAGATCTATGTTGGCATTAGAAATGGGCAAAAGTGGAGAATGCACAAAGAGACCAGAGAAGGTTTGACTTAACAATGGGTTTTCAGAAACACACAAAATACAGAAGCGTGTCATTTCTTGCTCTAATTTCTTTCCTAATTTCTGGTCTCCCATTTGGGCCTATTTGACAGATAGTTCACACGAGGCACTAATGGCAGCTGATCATTGCTGGCTGAGGTAGAATTGATATTTTGGGGACTGAACAGGCACCAGTGGATGAACTTACACTGAGGGACATCTGAATAATCAAATTTGACTTAATAGGCCTAACATATATGGCCAAATGCATGCAGTCCTGTGGGCAGGCTATGGGGGGGGGCGTTCAGGTAGGGAAGAGGGGCTAAATATGATTAAGATGTATTATATGACATCCACAAAAACTGAATAAAAATTATATATTCAAAACAGTTCATGCGTTTTTCTCAGAGTTCTGTTTTTGATCGCCCTCATTTTATGCATATTCATTGGATAATTTCATTTACTTCTTTGGTACAGTTATAGCTTCTAAATTAAAGAACCTAGACATAAAGCTTTAACTCTTTCCTGTCCTTCACCTTGTATGCCTTAGAGATGATTCTAGTTAGAGAAAACTCAGGCATCTCCAACTTTCTATATCCCAAACTAAACTGATTTAGTCCTCCTGATTTCTTTTTCTGTAGAGGGTATCCTCATCCTCCTGGCGGCTCAGCTGCTTTCCTCCTCATCTGCCCTGCACCATCAGCATCTTCACCTGCTCGTCTCCATCCACAATGCTGACTTCATTATTTATCACCTTCAACAGCCATCTTGGTAAGCTTCCTACGTCGTTTTGCGCCCCCACCACCACCCCACCATTTCTTCCTGTTGATTTTGACTATCCTTTCCCTTAAAACATTTTAATGATTGCTCCTGGCTGTTGCGATAGCACCCAAACACTTTAATCAGCTGTCAAGACTCTGCAGGAAAGGATCCCACAGGCATGCTAATCTGTTCTCAGTTCTGAGAAAGTTCACTCTCCTCCCCTGAGCTCTCACACACTGGCTGTTCTGTGGGTAACCAGGAATCTGTACTTTGCTTCCTCCTACCTGTCCTTTAGCCTGGATAGCACTGCCTCATGCATTGTGCATGAGGATGAACGATGCCACCTGAGGAAATATCACTTCCTCCAGGAGCCTCCTGCAGAATAGCTTCCCCCGGTGGGCCCACTTTCCACCTTCTGTTTTCCCACTGTTGTCCTGGGGCCATATTGAAATCGATAATTTGCCTAACTTCCATGCTACTCCATAAGCTCCAAGGGGAAAGGAGCTAGGTTTCTGATTTACTCTACAGTATATTTTCATAAAGCAGAACATGTATACTGTGAAACTGAAGAAAAGAAAACCAGCATAGTAAAAGATACAAAATGATTGAAGATTTTAAATATTATCAAACAAGAATGACACTTTGAAAACTGAAGAATGGAAGAAAAATGTTAATTCAACTGTTTATTCATTTTGTAGACTATTAACATAATGCAAAAACGTAGGGCATAAAAACCAAAAGTATTGCTCATTTTTTTTTCATGTAAGTCTGTGTCTGCCATCGCCTGGGAACTCTCGGATATTGTAGTGCTTTTACAACTGTTCTCTCTGCAGACTAGCTGTACCTGCAAAATTGTTTCTTAATCTTAATAGTGGTGTGGCTAAGAAAACTGATCTTTGGTTTAGGAGAGAGAGAGAGAGAGAGAGAGAGAGAGAGAGAGAGAGAGAGAGAGAGAGAGAGACACTTGAGGACAAGACTTATATACTTTTCCTCGTTGCCCACAACACATAACGAAGTAATTAAAGAGCATGTTTCTTGTAGTCATTTGATGGCAGTAAACTCTTTTTCACTAATAGCAGCACAGACAGGACACTCTCGCTCTGGACTGGGTTTGTATCCTGGACCACTCTTCCTTTGTTATCCTTCCCTCTAGACTAGAGGGAAGTGCAATTGACATCCAGTTTCATGTATCCCTCTCCCACCCCATTCTGTCCAATGAATCAGCAGGGTGAGAAAAGATAAGCCCATATAAAGCAACACACCCAAAGTCAGGCACCTTATTATTCTTTTTCCTTCATGGGGCACTAAGGCTGGGCACTTTAGGTTTGCACAGAATTATGTCATTTCCTTCTTTGCCATGGTTGATTTTTATCAATAAGCATTACCCTTACCTGGATAACATGGCCAGCTGTCCTGAGGCATAAGGCTGAGGTCTGCAGTACTGTTTATTGTATTCCTTAGCTACACTTTATATCCAGTTTATCTACAGAATGCAAAATCCTCAAGGGACGAATAACTGAAGACTTATCGAGACAGCTCCTCCTAGTCCCCATTTCCCTTATAATGCAGCTGTATTAAGGGGACAGATGAGAGAAGTCTGCCATCATGCAAGGCTGACATATCATGTGCGAGGACATATGGAAACCACATTTTCTCTTCTTCAAAAATGAATTAAATTGGTCTGTAAAACATACATCTTTGTGACAACAAAACTGACACATGAAAAGAGACTCTTATGAGGAATAACTTCAGAGGAACCGGCAGTGTTGAAGGGTGTGTGTAAATGGAATTCACAGTCAAAAAAGCTAACAGAGAGGGCCCAGCACCTCTCCTGGCATTTACACTCACTGAAAGCGAGAACATTTTGGATGCATTTCAAAAATATAAGTGTTTACAAGCATAAGCATTCTAAGACATACAATGCAGACCCAGGAGGGATATGCCTTCTAAATATCTTTGCTGCCAATCTATTGCCATTTTTATTCAATCTAACACTAAAGGCTTTTATTAGATTTGGGTCTTTAACACTTTGCAAACTTGAGTCCCAAAGAAATATGTTTTCATTGAATAACAGAATATTGATGTGAACTCTAAACGACCAAGACAAACATGTACTATCTATCATCTTAGATACATCCTCAGAAATGCTGTTGAAAGAACAGAAAGTGCTTTGCCCTTAGGCAGCTCACACTTTTGTCAGAATGAGCTGATCACAAGTGAATCAGTAAAGAGCAGTTAGAGATAAATATAGAAGATTCACCTTATTAAAGGGCGGTCTATAATTAATTTAGTAGAATTAGGTGGTAGAATATATGTGTCACAAGTGTTCAAAAAAAGTGGGCGTTTGTTTCAGCTGGGGTGTATAGATGGGCTTTACCAGAGAGGCAGAATTTGAGCCATGGCTGGTAACAGGAGAGAATTAGGGAATGTGGGAAGGAGATTAAAGATGCTAGGGGTGGGCAATGGCTCAGTAGGTAAAGCACTTGCTACACATGCATGGGGACTTGATTTCAGAACCCCAGGACCTGTGTAAAGTCAGACACAGTCCCAGTGTGCCTACAGTGAGATGAGACTAGAGATGGGATATTCTAGGAAGGTCATGGGCTAGCCTGGGACACACACAATGGTCAAAAGGAAGGGAGAACAGCCTGCCTCACACAAGGCGAGGACTTATACCCAAGGTTGTTTTCTGATCTCCACATGCACACCATAGCATGTGCATGCCCACACTCACACACAGAGACATGTGTGCACACATATGTCAGGGGAGAGGAGAGAGAGAGAGAGAGAGAGAGAGAGAGAGAGAGAGAGAGAGAATTTAAAATAATATTCTAGACATCAGGCAATGCTGTGAGTAAAACCTGAGTGAGGAAAGTCAGTCACCTTGCACGGGTCAAAGGCCAGGTGGAAGTATAGAAAGACAAGAAGCCCACGATTACCTTTTCTTCACCTCTGTCTGTGATTAACACAACAGTGCTAATTTCCCATCTTTACTCAAGTAAATCTGGAGACGTTTCTTTCCACTAGGAAGTATAATGATAGATTCAGTTGAATCTGATTTCTGTAATCCACACCAACTACAGTTCTAGCTACCGTTAATTAACTAGAAATTCTATTTCTTGATACAAATGGCCTTTCGTTGTTGTTTTGTTTTAGCTTTTTGTTGTATTTGTTTGTTCTTGAGACAGGGTCTATCTTACTTTGTAGCCCAGGCTGGCCTGGAACTCACTCATTGCAATTTGTAGCAATTTTACTGCCTCGGCCTCCTGAGTGCTGCAATTACAGGCATGAGTAAACACAGTGGGCACAACGATCTATTCTGAACTTCAGAGAAGAGTTGCTTATCATTTATCTTTGGGGTTCATACACAGCATTCATTTTCCAATATTTTTAAAGTTTAAAGTTATGTGTAGCTAGAAATAAATAATTTCCTGTTACCGCTCTTGTCCAGCAGTGTCCCAAAGCTGCAGATGTACCTTAAACGCTTTCCCTGAAGATCCATTTGGTCCCTGTGTGTTGTAAACCTGAAAAACACAATTCTCCTCAGTTAACGTTGCTTTGGATCTTGTCAACATTCTAGTTTTCTGGGTTCATTCAGCATGTTTTTTGTTGATTACTATAATCAAAGTTCATAGTGCAGGATAAATATTTGCTTTATTTTTTCTCAGAAGCATCACATGCATCTCACTTTTAAATGTCAAGTACAGTATGATTTTCAACATGGCTTAGGCATACTGCAAACTTAAACTAGACACCTTCTGTCATTTCCTCATGGAGGCAGCAGACTTCATATTTAGGATGCAAGGTCTGGGTTCAAATACCAACTCTTTATTTACCCTCTTGGAGTCCAATTTTCTTATTTGCAAATGAAGATGATAATCCTTTCCTACATTACAATTCTGTTAAACTTAATTGAAATTACAAATTAGAAAACATTTTTTAAACAAAAATCTGCTCTACAAATACCTGAATATCTTTTACTACAGAGTTGACTTTCAAAATAACTTAGATATGAAACACACGCAGAGTTTTTTTCAGTAGGTTGTCAGGTCATTTCAAACCTCCCTGCACCAGCCTCTTCTCTAAAAAGGGTCCTTTTAGATAACTTTCATGATTTACTAAAAACTTTTTAAAGGGAAACTTTTACAAGAATTTTATACCTAGATCAGTGGTTGTTGGAAAGGGGAGAAGGCAGAATAATCCCAGTGGTGGTGAGAGCAAAACTACTCTACAATCAATTGGCTCTCGGGTAAGTATAGGACTTGATTCAACTTTTGAGGCAATGGCTTCCCACCAAGCATTTCCTTTGAGCTTTCTGCCCAATCCTCAAGCAATGAGTAGATCTGTGACATCAACTGGAAGCCACAGTCATCTTGGCAGTCAAGAATACCATGGGTGGCAAGAAATCTGGCTAGGCTTATGTGCCTGTGCTACGCATCTCACATGTCATAATATCCTCCTTCCTGTCATTAGTGTCTAGCATGGGAGCAGGGCGTGCTGTTGGGATTCTCACTTAAACTCTCTTCTCATGGAAAATAGCATAGATGGGTCTCACATTCTGTTCATAACAAGTCAGTGATTGATGGCTGAGGCCACACATAAATAAAATGCAGCAAGAACTTAAAAATCTCATGCTCCAGCTATTTGTCAATCACACTTTTAACCTCTTTGTCAAGAGTAAAGAAGCAAATACATGATTTTACTGAGGAATTTAATTTGCATCAGAGTTAATAATTCTTGTTTCTTAATAACACCAAATTTGAACGATTCCTTAAGAATTCATAGAAAACACATCATCCACAAATCCAAGAACCATTTATCTTAGTTGTCTTGTATGTTTTTGAAGACAAGAGACAGTGTCACTCAATGTTTTTCTATCAAAATGTTATTGATGGTAGGAAAAGTAACGAATAATATTCTGAAGTTATATCGAGTTCTGTTGTGATAAAAGACAGACACTCTGCCATGTGCTAAGTACAACTTCTTAATTCTGATTTTACACAGAGGCATAAGCATCAAGGGTTAGTATTATAGTTAAAAACTCACCACACGTTTTTCCCGAAAATCTATTCCTACTGTCGTGATGAATTTGGGATTGAATTTATTATCTGTGTATCTATAAAGAAATGTTGTCTTCCCCACCCCTGAGTCTCCAAGGGCCAGGAGTTTAATCAGATAATCATAGTCTCCATCGGTCATAGTGATGGTCTTGGTGGGCCTGCAGAGGAGACAAAGAACAAGTGTGTATAGTTAAAGCCTGTGTCCTATGCCTGCTATCAACACACGGCTCATTTAATTAACAAGCAAATGCTTCTATTGTGCCAAATTCTGAATTAACTTGGTCAAAGCAGCTCCGGGGGTGAGGATACGGCTGTCATTCTGTTATACGGAAGAAACCTTTTAACACCATGTCATATAATATGAAATATATGCCACACAGTCACCGCACAACAACAATACAAGTTAAAAAGCCATAGGCGCTTGTTTCTAAGTCAGTGCTCTTGAGGATTAGAGAGGTGGTGCTAGGGAGAGGAGGGAGATGGAAACGGACTCTGCCCCTGGAAATGCGGCAGGGATGCTGGGGAGAGGCTGGAATTGCATAGATATTGGAAGAAACAGCCATGTTTTGTCTCTAATTGTGAATAACAAGCTTTCCATTTTGTATATATAAATTACTCCTTTTTAGTTTTAAGAATTTGACAGCTTGTGTAGCAACTTTTAATTACATTGATTTGATTGGGGCTAGGGAGATGGCTCAGCACTTAAGATCACTGGCTTCTCTTACAGAGGACCTGGATTTGGCTCCCAGCACCCATATATTAGCTTACGATCATCTGTAACTCCAGTTTCAGGGGATCTGATTGACACCCTCTACTGGTCTCCACAGGCACTGCATGCATGTGGTACATTAACATGCAGGTGAGACATTTGTATACATAAACTAGAAACAATAAAACTAAACAAGCAAAGCCAACATGGATTTGAAATCCTCCAAAAACAGTGCTTAGCAATCTTCTGTTTTAAAACCCCACAGCCTCCATTCTCTGCAAATCTGTATTTGGCTGCACAGTAGTATATTTTCCAGGTCTTGAGAAAGAAAAGCTGTTATACAGAACAGCTATGGTCATTCTGACAACAAGTCTCCCATGTAGGGAAACAACCTCATTCATTCTTTCCTCCAGTGCCCAGACTTGTCCTTCCTCTGTGGTTATAATGACTACAACTGAAGACCAACCAAAGGCTAAGGCCAAGGGTATCTGCACTGGTTATACCAAGAAACTCAGCATGCTCATTTGAATGATACCATCATCTATTATAGGTGAAGTTTCCACAAATTTTAAGATTTGGTACAATTTTCTGATTCATGGGCTATAGGATATGTTTCTATATCCTACATGTGTAGAGGAAGGCCTATGAAGTATTTTCTAAAACGAAAAAAAATGTGTTCTATTATGTGAAGAGGCAAAATATGTCTTACCTATCAAGATCCAGGAGCCATGTTATCCCTTAAGACATTTTATTCTGCAGTGATTAAAATTAAATCTCAATAACATTCTATTACATAGATATAGCTAAAACAGTACAATAATTTTTTACATACAAGAAAATGATGAATCTGGGCCTGTTGGTACAGGCCTCTCATTCTAGCCATTTGAGAGGCTGAGGAAGAGGGATCTTGAGTTTAAGGTCTCTCTGGGTAACAACCTGATCCTGTCGCAAAGTAAGAAAAGGAATGGGGTATAGCTTAGTGATAGAACATAGAGATGGCATGTATGAGAAACTAGGTTCCAATCTAAGCACAAATACAAACCAATAAATAAATAGAAACACATAGAAAAGGATGAACATAAAGGATAACTTGTTTGGGAGGTTTGCAACTTTTTCTGTAAGTTATTTCTTAAATCTTAGCCATATTGCTTCTGTAAAGTCAGACTGCCAAAGTAGAAAGATGTCCCTCCTGGAGGTCTACATGACCACCAGTCAATCTTCTCTTCCTCCTAAACTTACTCTTGTGAAATGCTTCTTGATGTTGACAATGTCTATCATTTTACTAGTAGAACTAGATCAGATTGCTAATTCTCTCATGAAAAGAAAGGGCTTAAATTTATTCTAAGATAAAAGTAACTAATCCAAAGTTGTCTTAGAGGGGTAAAATGGAAGCCACTGGTTGCCTAAAAAGAAAATAAAGTTGGGGGTTACTATGGTTCCCTGGGAAAAAAATCAAAAGAAAGGAGTTAAAAGATGCATCAACATGATTTAAATTGTGCTTCATGTTACCAATGCTATTTCTTATTTTTGTTGTTGATGATGGGCTAAAGAGAGGCTAAATATCAACCCAGTGAAAGATCTTCAGTCTACGGGTGTTAGTCACAAAGATGGACACTGAAAAGATAGATCTTACAATCTAGCTTCAGACGAAAGTATAAACAGATTTAAAGGTGAACAGGAATGCAAGAAGGGTGCAGGGTGGCGCTCCATTGATAAAGTCCTTGCCTAAATGAATGAAGCCCTGAGTATGATCTCAAGCCTTATAACTGCACATGGAAGTGTATGCCTACAATCCCAGCACTGGGGATGTGGGAGTAGAAGGGTCACAAGTTCAAGGCCATCTTTGACTATATAACAAGTTTGAGGCCAGCCTGGGATACATGAGATCATGTCTTTCAAAGAAATAAAAAAGAATACATAAACATATGATATAGCTTTACAGGAAAGAACACGAATGATAAATGAGTGAAATCACCATTGTGCTGATTATCCTAAGTAGTGGGCTTTGTGACCTACAGCATTCAGTGGGGACTTCTTCGTAGAGAAAGGCAAACTGGCATGCCATCATATAGCACAGGGAGGAGCCAGCCTATGTGAAAACTGAGGGCCACTGCCTGGGAGATTACTTCCAATTATAGAACAAATATTAACCACTTGCCAATGACATGACCTACCATGTGTTCCTGACTGGCAGTCAATTTACCCTCTGCTAATTGTATACAACCTGCCTAGGGCAATACTGGGGCTGCCACTTAGTCAAGATCCAATCTAGAGTGAGCAGTGCAGGCTAAGAGGGATCAGTTTTACTGTGGCACACGCTGCCTCTGCTCTATAAAAGGAAGGTGGGGTGGCAGACACTGTGGCATTTGACATGAATACTACATAAAATGAATGCAAGGTCTGGCACCATGTTTAGTACTTCTAACATGCTATTTGATCTATTAAGCCAGGTGTTAGAAAGTTTACTTTTAAGTTTCCTTTTTTTTTTAAACCAGAGTTTAGGACTTTTGTCCTAAAGTCACTGATAAAACATTCTTTTACAACCCCCAACAAAAAAACAACAAAAAATAGCTATTTGTAGGAAAAAATGCTTTTGTCCATGGGATGAAACAATTAAATTCAAACTTACAGATAAGGTTAGCTCTATCACTCATCTCTTTAAAAAGTTTATATGAATATCCAGTAAAACCCAACAGGGTATCTCTCTTGAAATATTATTTATATGGATTCCAAGTAGGCCACAGGACTGCATACTGTCTTGGAATGTCCTCAGAAGGCTCTCTCATTATACAGGTTAAGTTTCTTTTGAAAACAATGCTAGTTCTCTCTCTCTCTCTCTTTCTCTCTCTCATATTTATGTGTGCATTTACATTATTCTATTTATCTAAAATGTATTTTGTTTGCTTCTCTTTTCATCACCACATTATTTTCTGAGTCCTGAAATGATTTACCTAACCCTTCTATTCCTGTCAGAGTAAGCACAGCAACACAAAGAAAAATAAGGGCATGGTGGCGCACACCCTTAATCCCAGCACTCGGGAGGCAGAGGCTGGAGGGTCTCTGTGAGTTCAAGGCCAGCCTGGTCTACGTAGTGAGTTACAGGACAGCTGGGGCTACAGGGAGACCCTGCTTCAAAAAGACCAAAAAAAAGAAAAACCCCAAAAAACCAAAAGCCTTCACAAGGTTTCCTGTCCTTTTCTTTTTCTCCCTTGAGTCCTAATTGCTTTTGTATTAAATTCTTTTCTTTTCAGAGAATTTCATACATGAATATTGTATTTACTTTATTTCCATCCCTCCCACCCCCTCTCCAATTCCTCTCATGTCCCCTCCTACCCCCTCTCAAATTCATGACCCCTTATTCTTTATTATTGTGACATATACATGCATATATGTGTGCATATACAACCTGCTGAGTCCATTTAGTGTAAGCCGCCAAGAAAGAAAAACAATCAATTGTCCTACCCATTTGCAAAGCCCAAGAACCACAACAATGACCAGCCCCCCACCCCAAAGATATCCCAAATAGTGTAGTAGTGCCACTTTTATCTTGGGGGCAACAGATGTCTAATTGGGCTTAGGTTTTCCTTTTCTTAGAACTGGGCTAAAAATGGATCTGGAAAGGATCAAAAGCAGACAAGTTTTAACAGCATTGTCTATTCCTGTACAAAGATCAGTAATCTTGTCAGTTCTCAGTTCTTTGGGTCTAAAAGGGAAGAAAAAGCCAGGAGCTTGTAACGTTTCTGGGACCACGTCCAGTTCTTGGTCTTTATCACAGTGTAACAGCTGTACCACAGAGTCAGGAGAACAGAGAGATACAGAAGCTGAGGTGTCATCCTCGGAGCCCTTTGTGGGGCAGCAAGGGGAGGAAAGAGGACAGAAAGCATTTGAAATACAGCACACCCACGGGCTCTGCAGAGTGCAGATGGAAGGGCAGAGGGAAACACAGGCAATTGCACGGTCTGGACACGCAGTGTTCAGGTGAGAAGTCACACCAGACAAGGTACTTAACTTGCAAGAGAAACAACTAGTTTCCAACTGAGCAAAATCCACAGCTCTCCCCTCTTCATTGTAATTAGAAATGAAAAATGTGTCAGATAGGTAGAGGGGAGAAACATTTCATTTTTATAGGGGAAGGGTAGTTTCTCCTTGGAAGTGTCAGGATCATAATTTTCTCTGCTAGGTTATCTCAACTGAAGTTGCCAATATTCTCTCAGCTGAAGTTGGCCAAACCCATAGTTTCCATTATTGCTGTTGACCCTAAATTCTTTTTTTCTTTTTTAGCTTTTTAAAAAAATTATTTATTTTTATTTTATGTGTTTGTGTGTATTGCCTGCATGCAGGTCAGTGTACCCGTGTCGTGCAATGCCCTTGGAGGTCAAAAGAGGCTGTTGGATCCCCTGGAACTGGAGTTACAGACAGCTGTTAGCTCCCATGTGGGTGCTGGGATTC